TCACCATGAGGAGAGTAGGGGATGTGGAGGAGGGAACACGCTACTAAATGCCCCATTGGTGTTCCCAGGAGAAAAAAAAAACAAACAACAACAACTAAGAAAGGGGTGGCAGGGCAAAGAATCATTACAAATCTCCAAACTCTTCCTGGAATCCTGTCCTCCCTCCAGCACCTCCCCCCAGCACCTCCAGAATAAGAGCCCCCGCACCCCTCTCCCATATCCAGAGCCAGTCATGAAGTCTGTGCCCCTTGATCATTCTCTCCACAAAATCCACACAATTCCAGGGACTCAGCTGTTTGGGTTCCCAACAACACAGGTCTTTGCAGAGACAATAACAAGGAAAGAAGAGAGTTCTGAAACACAGATATGGGGAGTACTATTTAATGGGTATAAAGTTTCAATTTTTATTTTTTTATTTTTTTATCCTCACCCGAGGACATTTTTTGATATTTTGATCAGACAAGAGTGGAAGGGAGAGAGAGAGAGAGAGAAACATCGACATGAAAGGGACACATTGAGTGGTCGCCACCCACACGACCCAACCAGGGCCGGGGACAAATGGCAACCGAAGTACATGCCCTTAGCGGGAACCGAACCCGGGTCTCTCTGGACCGCAGGCCGACACTCTAACCACTGAGCCAAACCGGCCAGGGCTAAAGTTTCAATTTTTAAAAAGAAAGAGTTCTGGAGGTAGGGACACTCTCCCTCTAGGGAGCAAGCCCCCACCTTTCCCTTCTTCTTCCCCCTTGTGCGTTGCCTTTGCCTTCATCTCTCCTAAGCTCCAAGGGTCCTTCTTTTGCTTCTGTGACTTGTTTCCTGAGCCTACGCAGCCCAGCTGGCTCACTTCTACTATCTCTGTAACTTTCTAACTAAACTTTCTCTTACAATTTGGAAAAAAAAAAAAGAGTTCTGGAAATGGATGGTGGTAATATTTATACAACACTGTGAATATATTTAATGCTACTGAACTGTAGAGTTAAAAATGGTTAGCCCTGGCCGGTTTGGCTCAGTGGTTGGAGTGTTGGCCTGCAGACCGGAGAGTCCCAGGTTCGGTTCCCGCTGGGGGCACGTACCAAAAAAAAAAAAATGGTTAAGATGGTAAATTTTGTTATGTGTATTTTACTACCACTTAGAAAAATAAATAAATAAATAAAAAGAAAAGAAAAACAGATGTTCCTTCACTGAACAGATCAAGCTGCAACTCCTCATCAGGACTTACAAGGCCTCTCATCATGAAGCCCACGGAACATCCCCAGTTTGCCCTGCTTCCATCTCAGCCTGCCCCTGGTTCAGCCACATCACACATCCTTCCTCATCTTTAGAGTCTGCAGGCTCAGACCTGTATTTCAAGAAATATGCACAAGGCCCTGGCTGGTGTGGCTCAGTTGGTTAGGCGTTGTCCCATACACTGATTTGATTCCCAGTTAGGGCACATGCCCAGGTTGCAGGCTGGATCCTGAGTAGGGACATGCAGGAGGCAGCTGAAGAATGCTTCTCTCTTTCCCTTTCCATTCCTTTCTCTCTAAAAATCAGTAAAAAGCCCAGCTGGTGTGGCTCAGTTGTTGAGCTTTGACCCATGCACCAAGAGGTCCCAGTCAGAGCACATGTTGTGAGCCAAATCCCCAATGAGGGGTGCAGGAGGCAGCTGATCTATGTTTCTCTCTCATATCCATGTTTTTCTCTCTCTCTCTCTCATCAATAAAGAAAAAAATATTCTCCTTTTCCCGAAAGCGGCCAGAGGTGACCTCTGAAAATGGTTTGCTATTCACTTGACCCAGAAAACCCCACAAAATCATGCAAATCAAGAGGTTCAAATCTTCGTGTTCACTTTAAGAACACTTGGGAAACTGCCCAGGCCATCAAAGGTATGCATATTCGAAAAGCCACCAAGTATCTGAAGGATGTCACTTTACAGAAGCAATGTGTGCCTTCCCGTCTTACACTGGTGGAGCTGGTAGGTGTGCCCAGGCAAAACAGTGGGGTTGGACACAGGGTCGGTAGCCCAAAAAGAGTGCTGAGTTTTTGCTGAACATGCTTAAAAATGCAGAGAGCAATGCTGAACTTAAGGGTTTAGATGTAGATTCTCTGGTTATTGAGCACATCCAGGTAAACAAAACTCCCAAGATGCACCATAGAACTTAACAGAGCTCATGGGCGGACTAACCCATACATGAGCTCTCCCTGCCACATTGAGATGATCCTCACTGAGAAAGAGCAGGTTGTTCCTAAACCAGAAGAGGAGGTTGCACAGAAGAAAAAGATATCCCAGAAGAAACTGAAGAAACAAAAACTTATGGCCCGGGAGTAAATTCAGCATAAAATAAAGACTAATAAAAGTAAAAGCAGCCCTGGCCAGTTTGGCTCAGAGGTTAGAGTGTCCACCTGCGGTCCAGAGAGACCCGGGTTCGGTTCCCGCTAAGGACCTGTACCTCAGTTGCAGTTTGTCCCCGGCCCTGGATGGTCGTGTGGGTGGCAGCCACTCGATGTGTCCCTTTTGCATCGATGTTTCTCTCTCTCTCTCTTCCTCTCTCTCCCTCCCACTCTATCTGTGCAAAAAATGGAAAAATGTCCTTGGGTGAGGATAAAAAATAATAATAATAAAAATTTAAAAAAAAAGTAAAAGCAGAAAAAAATATTCAAAAATAAATAAATAAAAATCAACAAAAAAAATTTAAGGAAATATGTACAAGGTTCATGCTATCAACAAGAGCATCATCTCTCATATATTGAGCACTTTCTTTATGCCAAGCTAGACATCTGACCTACCTGATGACATCAAATTCTCACAGTGAACCTATAAGTAGGGTAACTTCCCTGTTTTGTAGATGGGAGAAACTGAAATTTAAAGAGGCTTACTCATTTGTTTCAGTTCACACTTCCCATAACTTACCTCTCTGATGATCCTTGCTAGAACTCGCAACCAGGTTCCTTGGCACTTCACAGAGATCTCTACTAATGCATTTAACGTGTCTATCTATCTTTCAAGACCCTGGTTCTCCAGGGCCAGGACCAAGTCTTTTTAGAGTCCCTGTGGACTACCTAATACAGTGCTTGGCGTACTGTCAGTAGCCAATAAATGTTAGTTGAAAGAAATAAAAAGAGAGGGAGAGACAGGAAGGGAGGCAGGGAGGCAGGGCATGAGGGAAGAGAAGAGAGAGGCAGAGAGGAGGGTGTAGTGAGTGGGTAAACCGGGCCAGGAGGCTGCAGGGTATGCTGCCAAAGTCCAGAAAGGTTTTTAGGGGTGTGGAAGAGGTAGAGGACACTGGGAAGGCATTGTAGTTGCCCTTGGTGGGGGCCTGGCAGAGTCTGTGTCAAAGCAAAGTCAGTCTTAATGAAAGAGTGTAGACAGCTCTGAATGGTAATCAGGAATCTTGGAATCTAGGGCAGGCTGGAAAAAGAGGTTGGGGGCATAGTGTCCTGAACAGGTTGGGTGGAGGGAGGAGAGAAAAGCCAGCCCCTGGGAGAGTCCTCAGGACACAAGGTTAGAAAGTTGCCACTCAAAACAACACCCTTGGTGGGGACCGAGGTATGTCCAGGCCCTGTAACTATTGACTGGCTCATACTGGAGGCCCCTGTGGGACTGGTTTCTTCCATTGATTTTTTTTTTTTTTTTAGCTAGAGTGGGAGGGAGGAAGGGAGAAGGGGGGGAGAGAGAGAAAGAGAGAGAGAGAGAAACAGAGAAGCATCTATGTGATGAGAGACATGTCAATTACCCCTGCAGGACCCTACCCTGACAGGGGTTGGGAATCAAACCTGCAACTGAGGTACTTGCCCTTGACCAGGAATCGAACCTTTGACTCTTCAGTTTTCAGGCAATGCTCTAACCACTAGGCAACTCTGCTGAGGCTGGTTTCTTTTCAGTATTCAGGTCTTCGCTCAAGTGACACTGCCTCAGAAAGGGCATCCCTGACCATCCCTAATGTTGTCTCTCCCCTACTACTTATTATCTTATTGGCTCTTTATAGAGCTAACCACTATCTGAAATGATCTTGCTTATTTATTTATTTCTCTCTCTTTTTTTCCTTTAGGGACAGAGGGAGGGGGAGAGAGAGAAACATCAATGTGAGGGAGACACATAGATTGGTTGCCTCCTTCATGACACCGACCAGGGCTGGGGATCAAACTTACAACCCAGGTATGAGCCCTTGACCAGGAATTGAACCCACCACCCTTCAGTCTGCAAGCCAATGCTCTAACCACTGAGTAAAACCAGCCAGGGCTTACTTATTTCTCGTTTATGGGCTATCTGGCCACCCCCTTCCCTATTTCGTGAGCTTTGTAAGAGTGGAAATTGTGTCTATCCTTTTCATCAATGCATCCTCAGTGTCTGGAACAGAGCCTGGTACACAGTAGGTGCTCAATAACTATCAGTTGATTAGACATATCTAAGTGACCCAGGCTGATCCTAAATTTTGCACGGGAACAGGAGTTGAGTCTGGGCTCCCTGGCCACGCTGAAGACTCTTCTACAAAATATTGTGACTGGGTAGATGCAGCTATAAGACCCTGCAAACTCGAGATTGGGAGAGTCCAGGGATTTGTGTTTTCTACTCTAGACTCTCCTGACTCATATAGATCTTGGCTGATCCCTGCAGAAGTAGACAGCATGTCCAGTGAGTAACTCACCCTGTTGTCTGTATTACTGGTAGGAAATTATTATTTTTTTATTCCTCACCCGAGGACATTTTTCCATTTTTTGTTCAGATAGAGTGGGAGGAAGAGAGAGAGAGAGAGAGAGAAACATCAACATGAAAGGGACATATCAAGTGGCTGCCACCCGCAGGACCAACCAGGGCTGAGGACAAACTGCAACCGAGGTATGTGCTAAGAAGCGGAAACCGAATCCAGGTCTCTCTGGACCGCAGGCTGAGGATCTAACCTCTGAGCCAAACCGGCCAGGGCAGGAAGATCTTTATAAGCAGCTAGGAGGCTGGGACACTAGGATCCCCATGGGGTTTGGAGATGGGGAATGGGTTAATAGTTCTTTTTTTCTTTGTTTTTACATACGCCAGGACCAACAATCACCAGTTGCCCAGATACCAAAAAATTACGCTTCCAAAATCTCTTAAAGTCGATTTTGCATGTAGAGCAATCATGTTGCCCTACATGTGCCACTCAGGATAGAAGTTCTCTTTGGGCTAATAGTTCTTGAGAGGGAGGAGGACTGAGAGACTGGGACTGAGGGCCGCAGTCCCAGAGCTCCCTAGGGAGCTGGGAGCTTTGGGGTAGGACACAAGGATTTGTGTCCTAGTGTTGAAGACTGAGAGACGGGGCTAGATGCTGGGGGCTTGGGCATGAGAGTTTACCAGGGAGCAGGGGGCGAGGCAGGAGAGTGCCCCTGGGTGGGGATTCTCCAAAGGTCTGGAGGCTGAGGGCTGAGTCACCATATTCTTTGAGGGTAGACATATTCCTGAATTTGTCTGTTCTTCCAGCCAAGACCAACACAAGCCAGTTCTTGCTTAATAGAGGAGAATGCAACAAGTGACCAAGACTAGGAGAGAGAAAGGTAGCTTTCTCCCTCTGCTATCCTCCCTTTTTCTTTCTCCCTACTGTCTCCACCCCTTTCCCAAAAATCCCTGCCCCATGTCTCTGTTACCCTTTCACGCCCCCTGCTGCTCCTTCCTTGAACAGCAGTGGCCAGTCTAAAGGACAACAAAATTCAATCTCTTCCTTTTCCTCCTGACCCCTCAGGACCATCCTCAGAGAGGGGCAGCTAATCCCAAAGGGAAGGGAGTAGATATGTGGGCTCCTGGCTCCCAGAAAATTATCTATATCTGGTGTGTGTGTGTGTGGATGCTGTTGCTGGGATCTCAGCCTGAGAAGTCACTGTTTCGTCAAGAAGCCTTCTTTGACCCCCAGTCTAGGTTAAGGCTCCTGGTCCACAAGCTTTCTCAACTCCCTGACTGCTCCTTAATGGCATTATCAGAGTTTCTAATTATCCACTTATTTGTCTTTGAAGAATACATGTCTTCCCCAGGAGACTGTGAGCACCAAGAGGGCAGAAACTAGGGTTGTTTTTACTCATCGACACAACCCAGCGCTCAGCACAATGACTGATACATTGCGGATGTACAATAAATATTTGTTGAATAAATAATGAATGACATTCAAAGGGTTCTTAGGTGGAAATTTAATGGGTGGTCTTAGTGCCATTGCCTGGGCTCTGGGGACAGCTGTGAGTCCAGATGTCCTGGCTTCTGCTCAGGGCCCGATCCATGTCTAGCCTCTGGTCTTGTGCCCAAAGGCCATCCAAGCAAAAGGAGGCAGAAGAGGCCTCTCCTAGAGGGAGGTGGCATGGAGGGGGCACGGAGGGGCATTAGAGCATTAGGGTGGTTTGGATCCAGAAGCTCCTCCCCACTTTTCTTCTTTTCTCCAATCTTCCTCCCACTGTCCCCTATCCTCTCTCACCTTGTGGTCAAACATGTGCCCTTTTCTTATCTTCTCCCTTGCCTTTAGCTGTTTCCAGTGGTGTGGTAAGGAACTTAAACATTACTCTCTCTTACCTGGAAGAGCCCCCAGGAAGAGACGCCCCTGGGGGTGAGTCCAAAGGTTGAGGAGGGAGCCATGGTCCTCAGGAGGCAGAGCAAGTATCTTTTTGTTTGGCCCCTGGCTCAAGAGGACCCTGGACACATCCAGCTTCAGTTGAAGAGGGAGTCCCAAGACCAGGGGCAGATCCAGCCCTGGCCCCGACCCATGAGACAGCACCACCTTCTGTAGTGTGTGGGACAGGGACATAAGTGGGGGAGGAAAGAATTAACCACATATAATCCTTGTGGTCCCACCCCCTAGCTGCCTTAATTCTGCCTCTTAGCCATACCGCCTATCAACTGGCCATCCCCAACTCCTAAATCCTGCCTCAATTATCCTGGCTTAACCTTCCATAAAGCCACATCCACCCCCAAATAAATAATACAATCTATAATAAAAGGTGTCTGTGACCCTGGCTAAGTAGTTCAGTTGTTTAGGGAGTCATCCCATACACCAAGGTTGTGAGTTTGATCCTCGGTCAGGGCTCATACAAGAATCAGCCAATTAATGCATAAATAAGTGGAACAACAAATCGATCTCTCTCTCTCTCTCTCTCTCTCTCTCTCTCTCTCTCTCCCCCCTTCCTCTCTCTAAAAATCAATCAACAAAAAATGTAAACATAAATAAATAAAAAGCTGCTTGGTGTTCTCAGCTTTAAGGTGTGTTCCTGGTTCCCTTAAGCTTTCCTAATATTAACACTTTGAAGTCCTCTTTCCTCCACTGCTCCCGAGTGCCACCACAGGCAGTGCCCCTTCTTACTTGATCTTGTAGGTGGAGGCTGAGCCAAGAAGTGTTTTCTGGGGTCCCAAGGGCAAGGAGGTGGCCAGAGCCTGCTGCCAGCTGGAGTTCCAGGTCCAGAGAGAAGGCCCAGGGCTCTGCATTAGGCTGGGGAATATCTGGGGGAAGAAATGATCCTCCTGAGGCCTCAAGGCTGGGAATTCCTGGAGGGAGGGGGCTAGTGGTAGAAGGAGATGGAGGAAGGCAAACACAAAGATGGCCATGGAGGGGGAAAAACAGCCTTTACCTTGGAGATTGAATTCTGCACGAGTCCCTGAAGGGAAGAACGCCCCAGGTTGGGACTCTATACTACAGTTTCTGAGGCTAGTAGAGGCAGACACTGAAATTTGGGCCTGTTGGTCCAGCCAGTTATCCCTGCGCAGGCAGGCATCCAGGGCAGGTACCAGCTGGAACCCATGGGGGGAAGGGAAGACACAGGGATGTCAGAATTGGGACATCTGAGCCCAGTCCCAGCTTCCCCACCCTCAGTTCCTTCCCTTCCAAAACACAAACATCTGGCCTCCCCCATGCAGCTCTTATCCCTTCCCCTCTTCTCAAAAGTGTGAACTTAGACTTCCATGGCTACCAAGTCAGCAGTGTTTTACAGACTGGGTTATGGTTCCCACCCCTGTGATGCAGTTACCGGCAACCGGAGATCGGAGGCAGGGAACAGCAGTCCCCCAAGTGCAATTCTCATGATGGGCTGTGGTTTTTTGGCCAGAGGCCCAGAGACCTGTCTCAGATGCAGCACCTCCTCCTTATCCACCCATAGCAGCACTGAGTCCCCAGAGATCTTTACTTCTACCTGCAGAAAGGAGGAGAAAAGCAGAATCAGAGACCCCTGGGACCTCCCTCCACTAATGTCTTCAATCAGCCAAGTATAGTGGAAAGAACATGTACTTGAAGAGTCAGCTAGCATCCTTGGCTCACTTAGGACTTGTCACTTACATACTGACTGAGCTTTAGAATTCCCCTCTGAAAAATTGGGGGTTTTGTACAGATTAAATAAGATGACAATGATAATGAGATGCCCGATAACTTGATTCTGTTCCCCTTCCTCAGACAACCCCAAGACACCCTTCCCCTCAGAACCAGATCTGGCTTACCTGGTGCCACCTCCCATCATCCAGCCGGGGTCCAGCACCCACTGTAAGCTGCGCCCAGAGATTGTGCATTTGGATCTCAGGTCTGCCATCCCGAAGCCCCAGCATAAACCAGTCATCCTTTGGATTGGTATCGCCATAAAAAATCACTCCCTCTGGATCCCAGGTTCGAAACTCAAAGGAGGAAGAGGATCTGGAAGGACACAGAAGGAAGGACTGTGTCTGGGGTGAGCCTTTTGAAGGTAAATGTGAGGTTGGGGAGGTGAGGAGGTAAGGGAGAGAGAAGGACAGTGATTTAGGGAAAAGTGAAGAGCCGATGGAGATGGTAGGGTCAGGGGACTAGGCCAAGGGACTAGGTCAACCCCATACTTAGTGATCTTGCTGAGGTTAAAGGTCATGATAGAGACAGGCTCCTGTCCTGGGCCATTGCTGAGGTGCACAGCAGGAGGGTCCTGGATCCCCTATCAGAAAAAGAAAATAAACAAGCTGGAATAAGGACATGCTGGAGACAGACAGAAGGAGAGGCAGTGTTACAGGGCTAGAGGAGGAAAGAAAGAAAGAAGGCAGAAACAAAATGTATCTCATTTAAACACATGGGCTGATTACCCTGTCTTGCTCCTGCACCTGGGTTGGGGGAATCTGTCTCAGAGCCCATCCCTGATAGTTATGAGGTGGCAGCAGCAGCAGCAGTAGCAGCAGTAGCAGCAGTAGCCGACAGGACTTGGTCAGAGGGCCTCCGCACTCCATAATCAGCCTACGTCCTCTGTGTGGCTCAGACAACCCTGGGGAGAATATATAACAGCAGGCAGCCTTGCGCATGGTCGCATGGTTGGTGGAAGGTTAAAGGTTGCCCCGGGGGAAGAAGGGGGGCAGGAAACAGGGGCACTGACCCTACCATCCCTCTAAGGGGACAAATGAGGTGAGGAACAGAGTTCCTCTACTACCCTCCCCCACTGCTGAGAAAGTTTAAGCTGGAAGAGGGCACCCTATTGTCCCTCTCCTCCTCTAGAACCTTACCTGGGTCCTCCATGCCTTCTGCCCACCTGGGGAGGCTGCCTGGACAGGCCTGAGGTATAGAAACAGCCCTGTCTTGCTCCTCAAGCAGCATCCCAGCCAGAACTAGAGCCAAAACACAGAATCCCAAATATCTGAGTGACTGTGGGCAGGTCACTCTGCGGTTGTGCCTTAGTGTCCTTGTCTACAAAATGTGAAAAATAATACCTATTTGATGTGGTTACTGTGAAGAAGGATTGAGACAATGCAGGGAGAGTGCCTGGTATCTGCTGAGTGTCTCCCTCCTTATTTTCTCAGGCCTTGGAGGCTTGCCTCATAGGGAGATATTGTCTCTCAGAGTGATTTAATAGATACTAAATTATCTTCTTTTATTCATTTATTACAAGGCGTAACTATCTACCAACAGAAATTCATCACCCTCTCCCTGACCCATTTTAAAATACAAATGGTCCCAGAGAAGTAACACTTTGAGCCACCCCAAAGCCATAGTTAAACAGCTTTCAGAGCTGGGGTCTTCGGGCTCATTCAGGGTGTGAGTAGGCTTGAATGGGTGAGAGTAAAGGGTAGAGCAGATAATCACAGCCCATTTCATTTCAAGAAGGGCCCAGGGTTCATGTTTGGAGCGGTGAGCTTACTCCCACGCAAGCTGGGATAGTCCACATCAACAGCGAGGGAGCCTCTGGCCGCCAGGCCTTGACCCCTGCCCGGGCGCCCAGTCACGAGACTCTGCCACGGGGAGCGGGGCTAGGGGCGGGGACGTGCCTACTCTACAAGCTGATTGGCTGTCGGGTGCGCGCCTGCCGGGCAGAATTCAGGGGCTACTAGGCAGCGAGGACCGCCCTGCCTGACCACTCTCCGTGCCCCCAGGTGGCGGAGTCGGGCTTCCGCTTCCCACCGAGATCCCCGCAATAACCTTGCTCCCCCCGGCTTTCCGGGATCCGAATTTGTAGGCCCTTTAAAGGGTCCCAGTTGCCCTTCGCTAGGTCCTACAGAACGGAAGTGAGGATCCTGGACTTTGGTCCCAGACGGTGGACATCGGGATGGTTTGCGTGCGGATCCGAGAGGCCAAGGAGGGAGACTGTGGGAATATTCTGGGACTGATTCGGGTTAAGTCTGCGGGCCAGAAACCGGGGTCTCAGAGAGGGTCAGAGCGTCACGGCTGGAGGGGGCAGGGAGGAGGCAGAGGGTGCGGAGGAGGTGGGGCAGGGGGTGGAGATTTGAGGAAGGGGAGGAGGTGGGAGTTGAGAGCGGGAGGTGGGAGGAGGGGGAGGAGCGCGCTTTGGGGTTCTTCTCGCCGCGCAGCAGCGCCCTCCTGCGCTAATCTGGTCTCTGTTCCCACACCATAGGAACTGGCTGAGTTTGAGAAACTCTCGGATCAGGTGAAGATCTGTGAAGAAGGTTGGGGCTCAGCATCTGGGTTCTGATGGAGGCTGGGAGGAAGTGAGGGATAGGTTCCCCAGACAGTAGCTCCAAGCTGGATACACACTCAGGCCCTCTTTCTCTTTGTCACAATTATGATCTGTGCAGACTTGAGGGCAGATGGCTTTGGAGAGAATCCTTTCTATCACTGTTTGATAGCAGAGAGTCTTCCTGACCTCGGGGATCCACAGGGTAAGAACATGCCTCCAGCCCTGGCCGGTTTGGCTCAGCGGTTAGAGCATCAGCTTGCGGACCAGAGAGTCCCGGGTTCGCTTCCCGCTAAGGGCACATACCTCGGTTGCGGTTAGTCCCCGACCCAGCCCCGGCTGGGTCATTTGGGTGGCAACCAGTCTATGTGTTCCTCTCACATCCATGTTTCTCTCTCTCTCTCTCTCTCTTCCTCCCTCTCTCCTTCCCGCTCTATCTGAAGATAAATGCAAAAATGTCCTCAGGTGAGGATAAAAAAAAAAAAATGCCTCCACCTCAGAATTCTTCTCTCCAGTCACCCTCAGAGGTCTCTCCCCATGGCACCCAGTAGCCTGACCTCTCTTTTCTCTCTTTTTCAGGGCCCTGTGTGGTGGGCTATGGACTATACTACTTCATCTACAGCACATGGAAGGGACGCAATATTTATCTGGAAGACATCTACGTTAAGCCGGAATATCGGGGTACAGGGCAGAGGCCAAGGCTGGGGTGGGAGAAAAACAACCCATAGACCTGACCACCATCTAATCCCAGCCTATGGCCTTTTCTGATCCCCTTCAATTCACACAATGTCTCTTTTTGTCTTTTTCCCCCCACATCAGGTCAGGGGATTGGTTCCAAAATAATCAAAAAGGTGGCTGAGGTAAGGAGGGTGACGAGGCTACAAGCCAGGGGCCCTGGAAAGGCAAAGGTGTATGGGAGGCACCTAGCTTGAATGGAGGGTGAGAAAGCCTTTCCCAGGAAAGTCGGTGATGTCTTTTCCCACAGGTGGCCGTGGATAAGGGCTGCTCCCAGTTGCGCCTGTCAGCCCTGAACTGGAACAAGAGGGCCGTGGACTTGTACAAGGCCCTAGGAGCCCAAGATCTGACTGAAATCGAGGGCTGGCACTCCTTTCGCTTCGAGGGAGAGGTGATGAGGAAGTTGGCAGGAAAGTGATGCCATCCCTTGGGAATCTTGCTCTGTTTGGGCTTCTCCTTCCCCACCAGCTCAACCACTCCTCAGACACTATCTCCACTGCCAAAGGCCTCCCTGAAGGAAAGATGAGTTAGGGGGTGAATATTCCTGAAGTACAGAAAGAGCCAGAATAGAGGGAAAGGTCTTTATACCTCCTTACTGAGGATGAAAAATAAAAAATAATTACTATGTTTTGATGTGGTGTTGAGTAAAGGAGTTAATGACTTGATATGCTTTAGCCACTTTATGATCCTTCCTTGGAGTTCTGGTTAGTGGATGTGGCTTCTGAGGGTAAAAGTTGGCCAGATTTTTGGCTCTGAGCCTGTGGAATATAAAGAAAAGAAGAGCAAGGGGCCAACTTGGCATATCAGGCTTGTTGGTCACATTTGGGACCCAGACAAAGGCCTCCAATGTCTGGATGAGCTGTGGCCCATCCAAGACTGAGGCAGGCCCAGGGAGCAGGCTGCCACCTGGTGGTAGCACTTCAGAGGCATTGGGAAGGCCTACTTGCCCCAACTTTATTTAATTTTATTTTATTTTTAAGAAAGAAGAATGGAGAGAGAGAGACATCCAGTTGTTGTTTCACTCGTTTATGCATTCATTGGTTGATGCTTGTATGTGCCCTGACTGGGAATCAAACCCTTAACCTTGGCATATCAGGATGATGCTCTAACCAACTGAACTACCTGACCAATTGCCCCAACTTTAGAAAATCAGCTTAGCCCAGCCGGGTGGTTCAGTGGATTGATCATCATCCCATGGACTGAGAGGTCCTAATTTGATTCCCGGTTAGCGCACATGACTGGTTTGTGGGCTCAATCCCCAGTGGGAGTCGACAGGAGGCAGCCAATTGATGTTTCTCTCTCACATCAATGTTTCTATGTCCCCCTTTCTCTCTCTCTAAAAAATCAACAAAAATATGTTTTTTTAAAAATCAGCTAAGCGCCCTGGCCAGTTTGGCTAAGCAATTAGAGCGTCGGCCTGTGGACTAAAGAGTTACAGGTTCAGTTCTGGTCAAGGGCATGTACCTCTGTGGCAGATCAGTCCCCAACCCTGGTCAGGGTCGTGCGGGAGGCAACCGATCAGTCTGTCTGTCTCTCTCTTTCTGCCTCCCACTCTATCTGAAGATGGATGGAAAAATACCCTTGGGTGAGGATTTATTTAAAAAAAAGAAAAAGAAAAGAAAATCAGTTTAGCTAGCTAGTTCTCTTTCATTTTCAAAAGTCACAATGTGACCGGCCAGTGTGGCTCAGTGGTTGAGTGCTGACCCATGCACCAAGAAGTCACCGGTTCTATTCCTGGTCAGGGTACATGCCCAGGTTGTGGGTCAAATCCCCAGTGGGGGCATGCAGGAGGCGGCCAATCAATGTTCTCTCATCGATGTTTCTGTCTCTCTCTTCCTCTCCCTTCCCCTATCTCTAAAATCAATAAAGAAAAAAAAATTAAAAACAAAAGTCACAATGTGCCCTGGCCGGTGTGGTTCAGTGGTTATAGTGTTGGCCGGAGCACCGAAGAGTAACAGGTTTGATTCCTAGTCAAAGGCACACACTTGGGTTGTAGGTTCGATCCCAGGCCCCAGGTGAGGTGCATGCAGGATGCAACCAATGGGCGTGTCTCTCTCACATCAATATTTCTCTCTCTCTCTCTTCCCCTTTCTCCCTCTCTCCCTCCCTTCTACTCTCTCTAAAAATCAATGGAAAAAATATCCTTGGGTGAGGATTAACAACAACAAAAAAGTTACAAAGCTCCAGGCTGGAGTGGTCCAATTGGTTGGAGCATCATCCAGTGGACCGAATGGTTGCTGGTTAGATTCCAGGTCAGGGCACATACTTGAGTTTGATACCTGGTCAGGGTGCATTCGGAGGGCAGCCAATCGATGTTTCTCTCTTCCTCTCTCTAAGCATGTGCATGTCCTTGGGTGGGGAGAAAAGGGGGGTAAAAAAGTCACAAGGCCTTTATTTTCAGTTTAGCAAAACCAAAACAAACCTTTAGGACTCACAGAGATGAACAAACTCATAATATTTTGTTACACAAGTACTGTAGGTTTGTTGTAAATATAAAATAAAAACAGAATCCATAGCCGGACTTACCTAACTATATTAACCCTTTGGTATCAATTCTTCAGATTAAAAAAAAAAATTTTTAAATATATTTTAGAGAGAGGAAGGGAGAGAGAATGAAACATTGATTCGTTGTTTCACTTATTTATGCATTTAATGGTTGCTTCTTGTATGTGCCCTGACTGAGGATTGAACCCGCAACCTTGGCCTATCAGGACAGTGCTCTAACCAACCAAGCTACCTGCCAGGGCCAGATTTTTTTCAATGTACATATATACATATATTTCACTAGTGTGTAGGGATTTATGAAATCATACTCTTTTGTAACTTGTTTTTTCATTTAATATATTAGAAACATCTTATGCTATTAAACATACATCTGCAATCATTTTCTTTCTTTCTTTAGAGAGAAAGGGAGAGATATAGAAACATTGATGTGAGAAACATCTGTAACAAAAATAAATTAATTTTTTAAAAAAGAAACATTGATGTGTACATATATACATCAATTGGCTGCCTCCTGCAGGCTCCCTACCAGAGATCGATCCCGAAACCCAGGAATGTGCCCTGACCAGGAATTGAACCTGGACCTCTCATTCCATTGGACGATGCTCAGTCCACTGCGCCACACCAGTTGGGCTCTGCCATCATTTTCCATGCTGGCCTATTATTCCCTTTGTGGATGAACAGTCAGTTAAATGGTCATAATTTAGACACTGAAAGGGGGCAAGCAAGTAACTTAAATATGTGCATTGTAAGAAACAGTTTATGTATATCTAGAGAGTTGAAGATCCATCTTAAAATTAAAATTAAAAAAATACGATTTTGTCCGGCCGGTGTGGCCCAGTGGTTGAGCGTCAACCCATGCACCAGGAGGTTGCCTGGTCAGGGTACATGCCCCGATTGTGGGCCTGATCCCCAGTAGGGGGCATGCAGGAGGTGGACAATTGATGTTCTCTCTCATCGATGTTTCTGTCTATCTCTCCCTCTCACTTTCTTTCTCTCTAAAATCATAAAAGGAAAAAAACATTTTTTTTAAATACGATTTTGTCAAACAATATTTCAGGTTCCCAAATTTTTAGCCCTTAAAACCAATTTACTGCAGCCCTGGCCAGGTGGTTCAGTTAGTTGGAACATTATCTTGTACACCAAAAGGTTGTAGATTGGTTTGATTCCCGGTCAGGGCACATATACCTAGGTTACAGGTTTAGGTTCAATCTCTGGGTTGGGGTCTGTACAGGAGGTAACTGACTGATGTTTCTCTCTCACATCAGTGTTTCCCTCTCGCTCTAAAAATGAATGAAAATAGCCCAGCCGGCCCTGGCCTGTTTGGTTCAGTGGTTAGAGCATTGGCCCACGAACCAAAGGGTCATGGGTTTGATTCCCAGTCAAGGGCACATATCCAGGTTGCAGGTTCGACCCTGGCCATGGTAGGTGCGCGTGTGGAAGGCAGCCAATTGATATGTCTCTCTCATATCAATGTTTCTCTCTCTCCTACTCTCTCTCAAAATCAATGGAAAAAATATCTTTGAAGATTAACAAATAAAACAAACAAACAAACAAACAAAAAAACAGCCCAGCCAGTGTGGCTCAGTGGATTGAGCCTCATTCCATGGACTGAGAGGTCCCGGTTTGATTCCCAGTCAGGGCACATGCCCCAGTTTCTGGCTCGATCCCCAGTAGGGAGCATGCAGGAGGCGGCTGATTGATATTTCTATCTCATATCGATGTTTCTTTTTCTTTTCTTTTCTTTTTTTTTTTTTTTGTGGTACGTGCCCCTAGCAGGAACCAAACTCGGGACTCTCTGGTCCACAGGCCGATGCTCAACCGCTGAGCCAAACTGGCCAGGGCTCATATCAATGTTTCTATCTCTCTCTTTCTCTCTAAAAATCAAAAAAGGAAAAAAGAATTTTAAAAAAGAGAAAGGAAGGGAGAGGGAGAGAGAGAAACATTGATGAGAGAGACCATCGATTGACTGCCTCCTGCATGCCCCTCACTGGGCATGTGCCCTGACCGGGAATCGAACTGGCAACCTCTTGGTGCATGGGTTGATGTTCAACCTGTGAGCTACACCAGCTGGGCATCCATTGATTTTTAGACAAAGTGGAAGGGAGGGAAGGGAAGAGAGAGAGAGAGAAAGAGAGAGAGAGAGAAACAGAGAAACATTGATGTGAGACACATCGACTGGTTGCCCCCTGCACGACCCTGACCAGGGCTGGGAATCAAACCTACAACCCTTCAGTCCACAGGCTGTTGCTCTAACTGCTGAGCCAAACCAGCCAGGGCAACAAAAACATCCAAAGAAACGAACAAGACCTGGTCGGTTTGGCTTAGCGGTTGGAGTGTCGGCCTGTGGTCCAGAGAGACCCGAGTTTGGTTCCCGCTAAGGGCACGTACCTGGGTTGCAGTTTGTCCCCGGCCCTGGTTGGGTCGTGCGGGTGGCAGCCACTCAATGTGTCCCTTTCACATCAATGTTTCTCTCTCTTTCACTCTCTTCCTCTCTCTCCCTCCCACTCTATCTGAACAAAAAATGGAAAAAATGTCCTCAGGTGAGGATAAAAAAATAAAATAATAATAAAAAGAAACTAGCAAACAAATAAATAAAAAACATATTCTCGGGTGAGGATTAAAAAAAAAAAATAGTTTACTGCAGATGGGACGCAAGGACAACCTTGATAGAGAGATAGTGAAGCCCTGGCCCCTGTGGCTCAGTTGGGAAGGTCATGGGTTCAATTCCCAGTCAGAGTGGGTATGGGAGGCAACCGATCGATGTGATGTTTCTCTCTCACATCGATGTTTCTCTCTATCCCTCTTTCTCCTTCCCCTCTGTCTAAAAATCAATGAAAATGCCCTTGGTAAGGATTAAAAAGAGAGAGAGAGAGAGAGAGATCATGAAACTGGTTAGCCACTTCCACAGATGAGAGCCAGAAGAATCCAGTCTCATTCTTGGTTCATCTCAGATTAATTTAGTGACGGGGCTTTTTAAACTTAAATTTTAATGCAGAATGGATTATCTCTGGAAGGATACACAAACAAGCAGAGTGCAGTTGCCTCTTGGAAGACAAGCTGGGTGGCCAAAGGACAGAAGGAAGGAGACTACTTTTCCTATATACTTTGGAACTTCTGGATTTTCTGCAATGCCTATGTATTGCTTTGAAAAAAGAAAAGAATAAATAAAAGTTTAAACATTAATGCAGAAGAAAGGGGTATAAACTAGGAAATTTCCAAAATTTATCTTGCCTCCATCTTGTTATGTCTTTGCTTTTCAGAGTTTACACTTTT